ACTCTGATCACAATGAAGGAGGAGAATCTCCCACTCCCACCTTTCAAATCTTACACAAGTACACTTAATTAGTGGAAACTAATTAAATTCCAGAGAGCTAGCTGTGGGACACCTTCAGAGAATGTCTGTGGCTCTTCTTCCCACTAACAGTCTTCGTTAACTGAAGATAGACCCTTCAATACTTATTCTCTGCTTTGTAAAGACCTCTGTGTTTTCTGTTTTTTCTTGTGCATGGAGTGTCTCCATTATGCTTAGAATCATATCCCTTTTCCTCCTATCAAACCATATGTTTTCCACTTAAAGACCATCTTAGTTTTTTTCTGTTTATTAACCCCTTCTTTATTTCAATCCTTTGCACATTCTTGATTCATTTGTTTTGCTTTTGGAAAATTATAGATTTTAAGTATTGTAGGGGCAGATTTCACTTTATGAAATAGAACATATATCCCCACAATTTAATTTTTTTATGATAATATTATTTTGAAGGGCTTTGTGGACCTATGTATAACAAAGATGAATTCTAAGTTTCATCACTAAATTCTTCCCCACTATCTTCGTGGTAAGTTTCTTTGATCTTAGAAGTTTCACACAGTAGGGATATATGATCTAGCATCACTGTCAAAACTCATGAGTACTACCATTTTAAAGTCCTTTGATTTAGCAAAAGTAACTATATTTCTAGTTTAGTGGGGAGAACTAAAGAGCTTCACCAAATACCTATAAGAACCCTTAATGCATAACTTCAGAAGACATGAAATCATTCCTAAATTTATGGATTTGCAATACAAATTCCTATTAAAGTACATTTATATGTACGTCTGTTATATGCAATAAGATTTGAAAGACTGCCTATTATGTGTTCAGTCTTTTATTATACTCTGGTTGTCTTAGTCACACATAAGTTATGGAATATAGATTTTCCCTGGAGAGGGGTTTTCCTGCTTGAGATTTGTAGAATATAGTTTGGAAATGATGAATTAAAAGTAAAAGGGTTTTATTGAACTAAGCACATATACAGAGTTATATAAGAATGAGTGTACAGAAGAGAATGATATAATTCAAGGTCATTTTCAATTTCCTCCTGACTGCTTAAGAATATAACTTCTTGAAATATTCTCCTCCTTAGGTGTGTGTGTGTGAAACTTCTTTTATTCAAAACTTATTTGCTAAGTTAAATATTTATTAAGGCCACATCTAATCCTCAAAATATTGTATTTTTGTTCTTTTTCTTATCACCTTTGCTTTGATGATTCTATGATTTGCATCTCACCTTCTTCTCTCTCATGGTCTGAACTTTCAATGTGAACTTCTTTCTTGTCTTTTACCTTTTAAATGTTCTGCCAACACTTACTGGTCTTGTCTAAAATTTGGTTCATTACCCTTTTCCCTAGTTGATTCTTCACTTTTATCATAAATAAGTAGAGATATATCAAATTTATTATTGCTTTTGTTGCTTTGGATTTAATTTGCTATTTTTGTAGTTTCCTAGGTTGGAAACTTACACAGTTATTTTTAAATCTTTTCTCTTTTCTAATATGAGTTCAACGCTATAAATTTCTCTCTAAGCACTATTTTCAATACCTCTCACAACTTTGATAAGTTGTATCTGTCTCTTCATTTAGTTCAATTATTTTTCAATTTCTCTTGAAATGTCTTCTTTGACCCATGTGTTCCTTATCAGAATGTCACTTAATCTTCATGTATATTGGGTTTTTCCAGCTATCATCTAGTTATTGATTTCTACAGTAACTGTGATCTGAAAGCAGACATTGGATGATTTCTATTCTTTTACATTTGTTAAGGTGTGTTTTTTGGCCCAGATTGGTCTATCTTGATTGCCTGGGGTGGGGGAGGGGGGGGAGGGGGGATCCCACCAATTCCCAAATTCTATGCATGCTATTTTTCTGGGTAACCATTCTAAACTACTTAATGTGTATTATATGCTTTTTTCCTTTCTAAATGTGCTTTTTTTGCGATTTTTTGCATATAATTTTAATATACATAAACAATATTGTGTTTTACATCTCATTATCTTTCTTACTCTTCTCATTGAGCATGACACTTCTAAGCTACATTGCCTATAGCTTGTCCTAACTGCAGCAAAGTCTTCAATATGACTGATCTGTTTATCCAATGGTGGACACGAAGTTTGTCTGATGCTTCCATCAGCAAAAATTATTGTATAATGTGTGACTTTGTACATGTCCTCCATAGGCCTGGGAGAGAATATGGGTATATACTTCAGGCAAGAATTTCCAAGTCCTTGGGCTGGGGATATAGCTCAGTTAGTAGAGTATTTGCCTAGCATATTCAAGGTCCTGGGTTCAATCCCCAAAACCACCAAAAAAAAAAAAAGAATTGCTGAGTCCTGTGGAAACATGGACTTATTTCTCATAAGTAATGTCTTCCTGCTTTCCAGAACAGCTACAGTGCATGAGGGTTCCTAATTCCCCTCCTCCTGGGTATAACACACATCACCACCCAGTTTTTAATTTTTGCCAGGCTTATGGATGTAAGATGATGCATCGATGTTTTAATTTGCACTTCTATGTTTAGCAATTGGTTTGAGAACCTCTTCACATGCTTAGTGGTACTTCAGCCTTTCTCTTCAACAAACTGGGTGTTCTATATGTCTTCCCCATTTCTTCTGATGATGTTGCTGTATTTTCTTGGGATTTGCTGGAGCTTATTACATATACTATTTAGATTAAAATGTTCACCTGTTGTATTATATTTCTTCTCCCATTACATTATATTTCTATTACATCTATCACTAGTGTCCTTTGATGAACAAAACCCATAATTTTTATATAGTCAAAATTTACATTTTCATGGTGTGAAAAATGTATTTTCAGAAACTGTAGAGGAAGCTACAAGAACATACTCACAAGCAAATAAATACTGTACCATTATTTCAAATGAGCCAAAACACATTATGAAAATGATACAAGGCATAAGAGAAATCAGAATTATAAAAATTATAAGTTAAGAATAGAATTTTAGGAAATTACTAGAAATAAAAGGAAAAAACAGTAACTAAGACTTAACTAGGAATAACAGAAAAGAAATAAACATAATTTCAGGAGAAATAAAAGGTGAAAAGGAAGAAAAAAGTAGAGTATTCATAGGCAAGTAACAAATGCAAATGCCTATAAAAGGAGATCTCTAATTTCATAGATTGAGAACCTCAACAGAGAAATCCAAACCAAGAGAACACAACAAATTATAAAAACGGTAATTGGAGGGAAAAAAAGTCCTGGTGTTAAAAAATTGAAGGGAAATATTGAGAAGAAACATCATACCCAAGAAGATTGCACCAGAATTTATACTAAAACATACAGTAGTGGGCTGGGGCTGTAGCTCAGTGGTAGAGCATCTGCCTCGCACATATGAGGCACTGGGTTTGATCCTTAGTAGCACTTAAAAATAAATAAACAAAATAAATGTATTCAAAAAAACATACAGTAGTAAAATTACTGGGTTTAAAAAAAAAAAAGAAAGAAAAGAATGGCCCTCAGAATTGCATTGTCCTGATTTCCTACTTCTGTTTTAAACAATGGTCAATCCAGAAGCAATCAGCCTCTCTAGCACCTAGTTTGTGCTCCTGAAATACTTTTCCCACATTAAAAAAAAAAGTTTCTTGGAGAAATGATTGACTCCATGTCTGAAGAATGAAATTTTGGGGATCAGTTCAAAATATCTTACTATGGCAAATAACAAGGCAGGTATTAGAGGTTACAGCTTTGAGCCAAACATTCAGAGATGAACTGAAGACAACTCCAGAAGCCACAATACAAATCTTTGATCAACAAAAGAATAATAACTGCAATGGATTGAAATATATAATAAATGTTTAAATTGATGAGTTTTTAATGATACCAAAGAATAATAATGTGCCATCTTTGAAGGATAGCTGAAAACCAAATCATTGTTTTGAAATAAAGGTGATGTGTTTAGAAAATAAATGTGATGTGTTTTTATCTTAACTGTGGTGCTGGATATATGGACTAATAGCATGGAACAAAATACACAATAGCCACACACAAACAAGTATAAGTAAAGTTGGGGAAACTGAATAAAATCAATGGATTGTGCCAATGTCAATATCTTGGTTATGACATTGTTTTGCAAGATGGTACCTATACGGGAAAATGGTAGAAAGAGGTTAGCACAGGATTTGGCTATACTTTTTCTTACAACTACATGTGAATCTACAATTATCTCCAAATAAAGACTGTAATTTAAAACTCTTCATTACCAATATGTTCTTTGATAATGTAATACTCAATATGTTATTGAGGAGGAGGTATTCTTATGAACACACTTCCCTTATGAATGCACATACAAATAAAGGGTTCCTATGAGTCTACCTTCTGCTCTTCAACCTCCTGCCATTCTACATGTACAGCAGCAGGAAGACAAATTTAAGGTTCCTAACAAATTTAATATTCATTTACAGCTTGTTTTAGTAAAATCTTTGAATTTGTTTTCAAAGCTAGTTGATGATGCATACTGATGAATAATGATCATAATGGTAATAAATGATGCTGATGATAGCAATGGATGTGGTCGTTGTGGAGATGAGGAGGAGGATGCAGTTTTTGGAGCTAAAATATTCCAATGGTGAATTTTGACTCTTAAGTTTCCCTAGATATAAGATGACTCTATCAATACAAGGAAAATTAACACACCTGGGAGACAAAAAATGATTTGCAAAGAAAGTGAAAAACAAGACTCTAATTATTCCTTTACTGAGGACCATAGTCTCCAAAGTGACTGCATCCCATGAGATGTTCTGCACATACAGATGAAAACAGAACTTCAACCCTCCCAATATACCTGATCCTTTTTTTTTTTTTTTTTTTTTTTTGGTGACTGCACTGGGTCCTGTGAGTAGATTTAGAACTGGATATATATCTATACACTTCTTGTATTTCATGATCATGGAACCCAAAGACATCTCACAAAAAATCCAGGAGAAAGTATTTCATTTTCCCTCAGCATAGGTATTTAATTACATTCTCTAAAAATTGCATTAAAATACCCTTCATCTGTGAACTTTTGTTTGTAATGCAGACCATCTACAACTATACATTTATCTTCATCTCCAAGTGCTTTTTTTTTTCTGTGTGCTGGATCCTCTTCATCAGCAATCCTAAGCTAAGGTAAAATACAGGTAATAATTGTAATAAATCATGGAAGATATGTGGTTTACATTCATTTAGTTTATTTTACCAGAAGATTATGGGAGGGAAAATTTAAATCCATGTTCTCAAGAATTCTCCTATTTAATGGTATTCTGATTTGTGCTGCACTCATTAAATGGTATACACTCTGTTCTGTTGTGAACCACTTTGATCTATTGTTATTCAAAGAGTATTTTCTCTATTATCATTTAGAGCAGAGGATGGGTCAAAGGGAATAGTAGGATCTTCTTAGTCTATTTTTTTAATCTAGAAAATAATTTCCTTCCCTGTAATAAATGAAAATAATATTCAATAAATCCTAGCTACCTCCAATATTAGTTATTATTAAAGTTAAATACCTCTGCCATCCACAATGTAACATAAAAAACTTGCAATCCAATGAAGATTTTCTTGTCTCCAGATCACATCCTAGGGACTTTAAGACTCTTACACTAAGTAGTACCAAATAGTGTTGTTAAAAAAATAAAATGAGACAATGATTTTAAAATCCTATGTAATAAATTAAAAGTTACACAATATTTTTGTAAAAGTACATATACATTTATGCATATGTAAATTTGTCTATGTATATAAAAATATAGAGGAAGATTCCAAATATATACAGTGTTAAGATACCAAGCAGCAGGTAAATGGTGTTTGCTTTGTTCATTTTCTGGTATTTGAGGGTTTTGTTTTGTTTTTGCTTATTTGCATTTCTACATATATAATTTTTAAAAATATAAAAATCTGAAATTTATAATAAGATCTCTCCTCTATCTACAAAACTTAATTAATTTTACTACTAATAAGAAAGTGATAACACAAAGATAAGCAACAACAAAACAATATAGATTAGTGGGGACAAAACATACTGGTAGTCAAAAGTCCTACATTTTACACCTACTTCTGCCTCTTACTAGCTGGGTTACCCTGGGTAATTTATTTAATTTGTGGAGCTTATGTTTTCTAAAGAATGAAAAATTGTATTAGAGCATTCTTCTTTTTCTCTGCAGTAGGCACATGTGAAGATATTGAATGTAAAGCATGTCACAATCACATTTTTCTTAGAGCTCAGGTGTGTAGATTCAGAAAACGACCTGTGGGAGGAAAGGGAAGAAGCTCATGAGCAAGAAAGAACATGAGTACATTTTTGATTTCAAGTCATCAATAACTAGTAGGCCTTGAGCAAGTCAGTATCTGACCTGAATTTTATATTGTCTTCTCAATATAGAAATGGCAGGAAATATCCTTTACTAAACACATTTGCCCTTACCCAAAACTTTTAGGACTTAATGACATTGACCTTTGAAAGAAACGTGTAAACTATAGAGCATTATACAAAAGGTAATGATTATATCAGAAAAAATAAATAGTGAGAATTTAAGTTTTTCAACCAAAAAAAAAAAAACACATCTATTGTCATGTATACCTAAAAAGAACAAATGAAAAAAAAACCTTCAAGGCCAATGAAATTGATAAAAAGAAAAAAAAAAAGATGCTGTATACATAAATTATGATCCATGCTTCCTAAAGACATGTCTACAGTTTGACCACTTTCCTATTTGGGATGTAACACTGATACGTTTTGATATTATAAATATAAATAGTAATAAACTATAAAGCACTTACTATGGCAATACAATATGCCAGTGCCAAAAATGAAGCACAGTTCAATTATATCATAACTTCTGTGGATAGCAAGTATTAATACCTTTAAATGTTTTAGATGTCTTGAGAACTATAGCCTTAGGATCTTGGGTCTGGTGTCTATGAACAAATTCCACACACTTAAAACAACTCACAATCTTATAGGAACCAAGTATTTAAAATAAGATTTCCAAACACATTATCCCATGTTCTTTTCAATAAAGTCACCTTTGGATTTGATTTTGCTACTTTCTTCATCTTTCAGAGAAATTGATTAAGTAATTCAATAATACACGTATAACTACCATATCACCCTGACTGACTTTGTATTGAGTTCAGAGAACATTCATTTATCTATTCATGACTGTTTAGGAATTGCATAAATGATAGTGAAATTCCACTTCTGAAGTAAATTCCATCTGCACATGGAAACTTTGAAATATGCAATTTATTGCATATGGGGTGGAGATTCTCAAACTTCAGTGTGCAGGAATGTCCCTAGAGAGATAGTTGAACATAAATTGTCCAGCAGCTTTCAGAGTTCCTGATTTAATATCTCTGGAATGAAAGCTGAGAATTTGCATCTCTATAAGTTTCAGGAGAAGGTGAAGTTGATGGTCCAGGAATGACACTTTTTATTTATTTATTTATTTTTAGTTGTAATTGGACATAATAATTTTATTTTATTTATTTATTTATTTATTTATTTATTTATATGGTGCTGAGGATCAAGTCCAGGGCCTCACACCATGTTAGGCAAGCACTCTACTGCTGAGCCACAACCCCAACCCCCAGGGATGACACTTTGAGAACCAGAGTTCTAAATATTTGAGAAACAGGTAAACAGATAACAGATCTTGGTCCCTTTCCTCTCATCTTCAAGATCTCTGAAATACTCAGGAGCTGTCCCTTCACTCACCAAACAGCAGGAGTGAGGGGAAGTTATACAGGCCACAGACAGGATGGCTCAACAGACACCAAATGCAGAAAACAAGCTTCCCCAGGCTGTGCAGAGGCAGCCTCTCACAGGTTCTTCTTTACCATCCTCAAAGGCCCCCCACCCAGAGAAATGGCTGCAGAAAATGACTCCACAGTGACAGAGTTCCTTCTTGGGGGATTAACAACCCAGTCAGGGCTCCAGCTCCCCCTCTTCATCCTCTTCCTGGGGATCTACGTGGTCACCATGGTGGGGAACCTGGGCATGATCACCCTCATTTGTCTCAACCCTCAGCTTCACACCCCCATGTACTTCTTCCTCAGCAACTTGTCACTCGTGGATCTCTGCTACTCCTCTGTCATTACCCCTAAAATGCTGGTCAACTTTGTGTTCCAGAAGAACGTCATCTCCTATGTGGGGTGCATGTCTCAGCTCTACTTCTTCCTGGTTTTTGTCATTGCTGAGTGTTACATGCTCACGGTGATGGCCTATGACCGCTATGTAGCCATCTGCCACCCTTTGCTTTACAATGTCATCATGTCCCATGCCCTCTGCTCTGTGCTGGTAGCTCTGGTCTATACTATGGGACTCATTGGTTCAACAATAGAGACTGGCCTCATGTTAAAACTGCGCTATTGTGAGCCCCTCATCAGTCACTACTTCTGTGACATCCTCCCCCTGATGAAGCTCTCCTGCTCCAGCACCTATGATGTAGAGATGGCAGTCTTTTTCCTAGCTGGATTCAATATCATAGTCACAAGCTTAACAGTCCTTATTTCCTACGCCTTCATCCTGTCCAGCATCCTCCACATCAGCTCCACAGAAGGTAGGTCCAAAGCCTTCAGCACCTGCAGCTCCCACCTTGCAGCCGTGGGGCTGTTCTATGGATCCACTGCATTCATGTACTTAAAGCCCTCCACTGCCACTTCCCTGGCCCAGGAGAACGTGGCCTCTGTGTTCTACACCACAGTGATCCCCATGCTCAACCCTCTGATCTACAGCCTGAGGAACAAGGAGGTAAAGGCTGCCCTGCAGAAGACACTGAGGAGGAAACTCTTTTGATGCAATGTAACTGTTCTTCTCAATATAAAAACAAGTTGTTATAAATATCAGAAGGATGCCCTCTGCATGCCTACCCAATTGAGATGGGAAACAATCACTTCTCTATGTGGTTGAGAGAGTGCCTTCTCTCCTTCTTTCCATTTCTTCCCTTCCTCTCTTCTCTCGTTTTGTTTGAAATTATCCAATTTTCAAGTTCATATTCTTTCTTGTGAGATCCATTTGCTCTACCTTGAGCCCTTCATTAAACATTATTTTCATTAATTCTAAGTTAACAAAAATTAAATTTCCAATATTGAGTGTGAGAGTCACTCATGATCTTACTACATTCAACATAGAAAATATTATTCAATTCCTTTGGGGCACCTGGGAACATTTAAGGTAAAGAGAATTGAATTTAAAGGGACCAACTAGTGATACTCAGTCATTTTCTAATCCAGATTGCTCCCTTTCCTCTCTTCTACTCCTCTATAATATTTCTACCCAAGAATTTCTGATTCCTTTATGTAATTTTTTTAGTAACAGCAACAATAATAATAACACCATTAGCATGTTTTGGTGCTTACTCTCGGCCATGCAAATCTTCTCAGTGCTTTCTGTTCTGTTTCAATGGCATCTTATCACAGATACATACTGTGGTGGCCTTACTATATAGATATAGAAACTTGGTTTAGTAACCTGCTTGAGGTCCCACAGATGATAAGTAACATAAGTCAGACTTCAGCCTCAGTGACTAGAGAGCCTGCACTCTGGGCTCTCACACATTGTCCCCTTCAGTTTAAGCTGATAGTCCCTTTCAACAGTCTACTAAGACTCCCCTATCTATGTTCTTCCAATTTCAAATGCCTCCAGATAATAATTTCTCAACACCCCTCCTTTTGTAACCTGTCTAAACCTCTTTGTCTTTATTTGCAACATCTTCAAGTTAGCAAAATATTACACCAGAATGACTCTCTCAGTTTTAACAGTGGAAGCCCCACATCCTGGGAAAATCCTTAGTCCCACATAAACCAGATTGGCTGGCCACTCTAGGACACACATTGCTGTAAACTCTGTTTTGCTGCCTAAACCATTGATCTACAGCCAACCTCACTCAGTGAATCCAATTGCCATGAGACATGGTTCATTCCCTAAGTGCTTATAATAGTATCAAAGATACTTGTTTTAACCAAGATGGGGTAAAGGATTTATGGGCGTCCTCTTTGTCATTTAGAACAATTTTGGATATACAATTGTAAAAAAAAATAGTGGTTTAATATGGGAAATGGTAATAAATAGTTGTCTCAGGCAGAAAGGGAATCAATGCACAGAATTACATGCTCATAGCTTTTGAGTCACTAGAGAAGGTGTGAGGGAGCCCCCAGAGTGATTCCATATCTAGGTAGATATGACCTAGAAGTCAGGAAGCTCCAGCTTCCTCTATCACTGCAGCAACCATGAAGAATACTTCTCACAACATGACACTGGAATATAAATGACAGAATCCTGGAATAAGCATCACCCAGAAATATGATAGAAATGCAGATCTTCAGATGCTACTCCACACCTACTGAATTACTGGGTAGAGTCCAGCAATTTGTTTTAACAAACCCTCAGGTGATTCTGATTACACTGGAGGGGGAGAACCTCCAACTCCCACCTTTCAAATTTCACACAAGTACATTTAATTAGTGGAAGCTAATTTCTAAGGTGCTACCTGCAAGAAAATCAGAAAAATACAGTTTTTTTATTTTTTAACCTGAAAAGAAGTTGAATCAAAGGGCTATTAAGAGCACCATACCTAAGTAGTTCTCTCCTCATTTTCTCCAGAACTTTTTCAGTATGAAATGAGATCTCTACCACTATAGATCCTCTCTAAATAGAATTAAATGTAGAAAATATATCTGTTTATTTGTAGGTAAGAAATCATAAAGCAAAGAAATAATGGATTTTTATTATACACAAATATGAGTTTTGTTCAGCAAAGGATAAAAGTGATAGATTTAATAGCCAAATAACGCAGTGGGAGAATAAATACAACAAAATGGGAGAGCATTTTATATCCAAATAGCACACATGATAAACTCCAGCAAATCACAAGTGTCATGTTGGGGGGTAGGGGTAGACCCAGGAAAGAAGGTTCAGGGCTCAGCAGGTGGTATAAGATGTAAGATACAGGATAGTGAAATGTTTTATTCAGAGGTGGCAACAGTCTCAAGCTTTAGTCCCCAGTCAGATCCATTTTGTCCCCTATTAGCCCACAAGTCTTTCCCATAGGCCCTTTTTATATGCAGGCCAAATAAAGATGGCACACTGCCAACAGGTTACATTAGTGAGGGTATACTCCCAAGCAAGTGTTTATGTCCTTGAGTATATGCATTGAATCAGTGTTTCTGACCTTGACTGCATAATATAGCCAATTCATGGCCTTGGCTACATACTACAAACATAACATAAAACATAGCAAATCCTGCC